CGTGACGCACGCGCGTGGCCTGGTACACACACTGCTGCCTCGTGAGGCGAAGCGAATCTCCGAGGTGAGGCGCACTAGGTCGAGACAAAGCGAGAAGCCTCCGGCGAACACGTGAACCGAGGCGACAGAAGCTGAATCCAAACGTTTTTTACAGGCCATCAGAGGGGATTAGAAGGAGGTGAGGCTAGTCACAGTGGGGAGGAACTTAGGAATAACATCACACACTCCAATACAACTTTGCTTATGTGACACATATTTAATGAAGAGAGAGGTGCTTGTGGTAACTAGCTAAGTTACCGGAACATCACACACTCCAAGAAACAATGAGTCTATAACTTAATAAATGCATCGTTGCATGACACTACATAGATGTTCCTACCCACTATAAAGATAGTAACATAGTCTAGGGAAGTGTGTAAGTTATTAGCTTATGTTCTTGCCCATTGTGACCAGCCTGAATGGTGAAAGCAGGGGCCGACGAACAAAAGGCAACAGCCACCGATGAAGGAATGGATGGACGAGGCCAAATTCATTGTTTTGACCCTTTTTTGTTAGTTTAGCGTGATCTGACCCTATGTACAAAAAAAATTCGGATCTGACCCTTTTCCTACCGTCATCATCTATAACGGTAGGGTAACACACCCTACCGCCAAGGCCTTTGGCGGTAGGACTTACCTGCATCGTTACCTTCGTTTTTTACAAAAAGGACCCTACCGCTACAGTCTATGGCGGTAGGATGTGTTACCCTACCGCCATAGGCTATGACGGTAGGGTCCTTTTTGTAAGAAAATGAATATTTTATTTGCATGCATGCCCTTTTTATAATTACGTGCATGCCCCTATCGCCAAAGACCGTGGCGGTACGGTCCTTTTCACACCTAACAGACGTGACGGCGTAAGTAAGTCCTACCGTCAAAGGGCTTGGAGGTAGGGTGTGCTACCCTACCGCCAAAGACAATAACGGTAGAAAAAGGATCAAATACGAAAAAAAATTGCACATAGGGTTAAATCGTGTTTAAGTTAAGAAAAAGGGTCAAAACAGTGAATTTGGCCGATGGACGAGGGGTGCGTCAAAGTACTACTACCGGATGCAGTAGGGGTACTCTCCAGCGGCTAGCTTGGGGCTTCTCTGAATTTTCTCTGCTCTGCGCTCACATGTGCAGATAACCACTGGTACTCCCTTTGGTCCTGTTGCTGCTGCCTCGCTGTTGTTGCTGCCGGCCCGGCCTCCTCGGGAATTCAAGACGGGGCCCTGGCAAGGACAATCAGACGACCTCGGCCTAGCCTGCCTTCTGTGCGTGGTGGCTGCAGCCTGTCCATCTGCCTGAATCTTTTCGAGGTCTCAACTGTGCAAGACAGAGAGAAACAAACCAACAGACCTGGGCTTCTTTTGCAGAGAGAGAAAAAGAGAGGGGCCGGAGCCACATGGACCTGGATAAGGGCTTTATCAGCGGCCTCGTTGAGATTCTTGAAGCCCGTTCGTTAATCAGCAGGCCTAAACCGGAGCGCACCTCACATCCAGCCCAACAATCAAACAGACATTTCTCAACAACAACAAAGAAACAATCAAACAGACGGGAAAAAAAGGACAGGTCAAACGCAAGCTTTGCGTGCGTTTACCAGAGCCGTAAAGTTTGACCTGGAGACGCCGTCAATGGTCTGGCGGCACGAGGCGCAAACCCAAGAGCCCGTCGCCGGCGCCGCAGACGGCTACCGCCCGTCGCTCTCGTCACCACATGGGAACGGCCGAGCCTCGACGGCGACGCGACGGCGAAGACCGGCCGGTAGGAAGATCTGATGTGCATTGTTCCGATCGGAGAAGGAAAGAGACGGAACGGAAAGGCTAGCATCTCCCCACTTGCGTCGACGCGTCACCACCATTCTTCACCTCACCGTTCACGCGGGATGATTCTCCGTCCATGCAAAGGAGGGAGGAGGCATGCAGGGGAGAAAGGAAGGAAAATGATAGTACGTACGCTCGCTTGCTCTGGCGTGCCGATCACTCTTGGGACATTTAAACAGTGGGGGGCATTTGGTGAAAAAATTCGGGGCGCCTAACGCAGCGCATTAAATCGCCGGCGCGGGAATAAATAAAGTGGGAGATGAGGTGAGGTGAGGTGAGGGGGCATGGTTTCATATGCTCGATGGAGACGAGATGGGTAGATAGATAGATAGATGGACAGATAGATGTACATATTCTCCACCCAAAAATGTTCTCCAATCCCGTCCCGGGCTGGCTGCACGGCAAATGACACTTGCGAGCGTGTAAACCGGACGAAATTGCGGTGATTATTCGGTGAGGGAGGATAAAGGTTCCTCCATCCATCCAGATTCCAGAAGGGCGCCCCGCCAGCGAATATAATTATTAACTCGCCTAATTTTCTTGTTGGTCGACCACTCAAGGAGAGCAACACAAGAACAAATCGGGCACATACATACATGCACGAAAATGTGCAAGCTGTGCAGTGCAGGCAGGGGTCAATCAGGGGCGTAATGGGGGCGGGCGGATTTGGCAGCTGTGGCTGGCACCCGGAGAGAGGCGGCCAAAACGGGGCGGGACAGGGGACTAAAGGCAGTGGTTGGGCGCAGCAGAGGCAGATGAGATTATCTCTCTGGAGCGCTCGGGCGCATGTGCGTGCGTGCGAGCTGTCGATCGATCGACCTCGCACGCAGACGCAGGTGCCGGTTGCAGAGGCGCGCACGACAGAACTGGATGCCCGGAATGGCACAACAGCGACGGCCACGGCTGAAATTATTGTAGACCCCGCCCCGCCCCGCCCCGCCCGCCGGAGGAGAAGAATGGAGGAAAGAAAAGGTGGTACCGCCGCAACGCAACGCAACGCAACGCAAGCGGCCGCGCTGTAAAGGAGGCACGAGGCGTACGCTTCCACCACCACGCTCGAGGGGAATCCATCCATCCATCCATCCTTCCTTCGATGGCTGCTACGAGTCCTAGGCTAGCTAGCCTACTAGCCGTCCAGGGTCGGAAGAAGGAAGCTTCACGCAACGCAACACAGCACGGCAGCGAGGCTGATGATGATTTCTTCCAGGTAGCAAAGCGTCCTCGTGCGTGCTCTGGAGGAGCGTTTCTCCCTGTGTTTCCCCCTTTTTCCAGGGACGGACGAAATGGTCAGCGAGTCTCGGCGGCAGAGTCGTGTCGGGCCGGGTCACCTGCCAAGTTGCCCCGGGAACAAAACGGTGTGCGCAGCGTAGCATCGGGACGCACCGCTGCTACCGGACTGGACCGGACCGGACCGGACGGAGCGAAAGGCTTCTCTGCACCGATCGGCACGTGTGGTTCTACCTCTACTACTTCTACTTCTCTGCCTTGCAAGGGTGTTCCTTTCGCGGCGGGAAGCAAAGCACGGGAGCAAGTGCCTGCGAATTCACTCCTCAAAGCGAATGCAACCCCACTCAAAACTCAGCTTGCTTTGTTTCAACAAAAATCTGGGATTGCAGTACAAACACAAACACGATAACGCGAACGAGACCCGTGGCGATTCTAAACGTCTTGCTGCTCCGAAAGAAGCTCGCACGAGGACTATATTGCTACAACCAGAGTTTACTGTCGTGCAAAATGCTACTCCCTCTGTCTCATAATCTAAGACGTTTTCTTACACTAGTGTAATGTCAAAAAACGTTTACGTTATGGGACAGAGGGAGTATTTCTCACTCATGTAAGAAGAACAAAGGGTTGCCACATTATGCAAGATGACACATAAAAGAGTGCAGCAGTGCTCTGATCGGCTCACAACCCGCTTCTTGCTCCAAATGGCAGGAACTACAAGGTTTCTTTTTACCACATATATATGTCTGCAAGGGTCGACATCGACAGATTACACAGGCTCCTTTCATATAGCAAGCGCCGCCATCTGCACTCAGCGCGCCACCAATTCGGCTCTCATTCCAGAAATCCAGGGGCAATGTAGGATGGATGCTACCACACAGTAAGAAGCATGTATGCAAATCTAAATGCCCAAAACAGAAGAAGAATGTGGATGCCCTATGGATCACAAATACGGTTCGAACAAATGGTCAGATAAGTCACTCAAAAAGACTACAATAAACAGCAGTTGCAAATGCATCACTTCCTATTAACCTTACTAATGATATAGTATATGTTCCCTTATTGCAACATTGCTAATAAAGGATGACATCAATTCGCTGAAACAGCTATAACAGAACACGCTCAGCTAGAGAGCCTTTTGCCCTCTCGCTCTCGGGGATGATTCAATTATCCAGTAAAACCATGAGGAGACTTACTTCTAGGCTAGCAACAACTACAGGTAGAAGGGTGACAACTTCCAGGAAACTTGTCACCAAAATAGCCAATAAAATGATCTAGTTTTGAAAACTACACCTGCTTTGACAATCCATCAGAAACAGAACATCTCAAACTCGATTCAGTTGACTAACTAAAACATCAGTACATGGAAACATGAACTAAAACACCTGAGTCAAGCAAACCATCACAACTAAAACTAGAACAATACCAGCATCCCTAGCACATACAAATTCACGACCAGCAAAACAACATATCATTACCAACCTACAAGCTGATAACACAATTCAGAAAAGCATATCATGAAGCAAGCTGGATGAATAAGAAACATAGCAGTGAATTGATAAACATGCTCTAGTTGCAGCCAAAGATAAATCAAGTATTGCTTAACAGGTTGTTCATCATCAACAGTGAAAGGCGAGCATTCTGGAAGTTGTTTCTAGATTATTAATATAACACTGTTTTTGCATAGTCTCGTATCTTTGAAATCACGAGCTGTTGATCCAAATTGCAAATGTAGAAATGGATTAGCAAGGAAAACAGAAGTATTAGAACTCAAGGGTTACATGAGTGCTGCCGCTCAGCAGATGTCCAGTTAACTGGGCAGAAGGCATAAATCCCTACGAAGAATCAGGGCTGGAGCAATTGAACAGGCTGCCTTTGTGCATACTATCATCCTTCATAAATATCCACTGCATCCAATCTTTATTCAGTGGACTCAGCAACCCATCACGGCGCAGTTATACACGAAGTTCCCGGATTGCCGTGTGGCAACCAAATTCCACACAGGCGGTTGCTCATCGGGAACCCATGAATTAAGCTCAATGATGCCACCAATAGAAGTCCTTGGGCCTCCAATGACAATCAGCCGGTCACCACAGGCTCGGAAAGCAAGGCCCCATCCATTCATGGACACAGACCGTTCAGGCAATTTCCCAAGAGCGATCCACTTATTATTCAGCTTGTCATACTTCTTCACATCCTTCTCACTGTAATCAGCTGCATAGAGCTGATTGTTGACAACTGCAATTAGTGGAGGAGCACCCGTCACTCCATTGAGGCCCTCAGACATGTTCTCAATGACCCTCCACGAACCCCGATTCAAGTCATATTCCTCACCACATGTCAGTACCTGGTTGTTGTTGGTAACACCACCGATCACATAGAACTTGCCATCCAAGAACACACCAGAACACATCTTCCTAGCCCTATTCATGCTGGGAAGGGGTGTCCAAGTGTGTGTCACAGAGTCATACATCTCTGCAGAGCTCAGTATCTTTCCAGAAGCATCGGTGCCTCCAGCGACATACGCCTTTTCACCGACGCTTGTTGATCCAAACAAGCACCGGGGAGAGTTCATGGGATCAGCCCTTGTCCATGAATTGGTCAGGATGCTATATCTGAACACAATGTGTGCCATCCCAAACACAAGCAGCTCGGTGCCCACAGCCAGGGACTCCTTGTCAGAGCACATGAAGCATTCATCCGGTGGCATCTTGGGCACCTGGATCCAGCGCTCCCTGTAGGGGTCATAGGCATCCCACTCCAGGACATTGCAGGAGAAGTAGACCCAATGCTCGGCGATACCATTCTGCCGCCGCAGGCGGTAGATCTCCCCGTTGCGCACCAGGGAGTTGAAGTCCCTGTTGAGGGAGGCGACGGAGCCATAGTCCGACCTGGAGAGCCGGAGGAGGCAGTTGATGGAGAGGTCGCGGCCAATCTCGCCAATGAGATTGGCCCCAGAGCCTTGCTGCTCCCCACCGCCGCTGCTGCCTGAGGAGGCATGGCGGCTGGAGCCGTGGCTCTCGGTGATGTCCGGCGTGTGCGGCTGCGGGGAAGGCGACTTGCTGCGCTTCCCGCTGCCGCCGCCGGCGTCTACCTCCTCCATGTCTTCCGCGCCGAAGTCTTCCGGCGCGGGGCGCTTGCTGCCGCTGAGGAGGAACGCCCAGTCGGAGTCCGGGTCGCAGTAGCTGGGCAGGGAGCGCGAGACGAGGCAGGATTTGCCCTCCAGCATCATGGCCTCTCCCCCTCCCGCTCGGCTTATTATCTTCTCGGATGAGACTGATCCGGAAAGGGAGAAATCTGGGCGCGCTCGCTGATCTCCTAGCCGCGATCTGCAATAATAATGGAATTAACAGGGGAGGGAGGAAAGTAAGCGCGGACGAAATCGGCGAGAAGAAACGGATCAGGACCAGGGGCATTTGAGATCTGAGAGGGGCGCGTGAAGAAAACAAGGCGTAAAAATCGAATCTTCCGGCGAGAACCCAACCGATCTGCCGCCCTCCCACCCCCAAATCGTTCCCCCGAGAACCAAACCAAATCTTGCTCCCACCATCCGCGGCGACCCCGCCGGGCGACGCGAATCCAGGCGGAGAAGCAGGGGGCGGCTCCATCCAATCCAATCCAATCCAACAGAGAAAGGAAGAACATGCGCAGGAGGGGCAAGAAAGAATCACCTAACAAGAACAAATCGAACCCATGGCAAGATCACGCACGGGCCCGCCCAAGGAAATCTGGACTGAAAGATCGCGGCCGGCGACCCAATCAGCGCACCCCCATCGCCGCGGCGCCCGAGAAATCCCCTCCCTCCCTCCCTCCCCACCACCAACTCCTTCTGCCCCCTCCGTCCTACCAGATGCGCGAGCGAGCAAGCAAAGCAAGCGAGCGAGGAAGCGAGCAAGGATTTATACCTGTAGAGAGAGATAGATAGATGGCTCTATCTACTGCTGCCACTTGGTTACAACTGCCCCTTCTAATGCTTCTGCCCCTGCTGCAGCCCTCTGCCGCTGCC